ATGAGAAATGACATCTACAGACGCCCCTGACTATGTGACTTCCCACATCTGTCTGAGAAGGCCAGCTTTCAAGCAGTTCGGGTGGAGGGCAGGAAGATGACCCGGAGCACAGAGAAAAGGGCACGAAGAGACTTTTTTTAAATGAACGACTTTTTAATTTAAGAACTTGTAGTTGACAGGGATGTCTCAGCAGGAAAACACTTGCCTACTTGCTTTGCTTTGGTGTGGGATATTTCCAGGCACTATCCTTCCCCCTCCTCCCCCACCCCCCAGGATAAGGTACTTGCCTTGCATGCAGCCAACCTGATGGATCCACAGCACCACAGGGTCCCCTGAGGACCCCTCACAAAGACAACATCAGTTCTTATGAGTCTCCAAATACAATTCCCAAGCGAAACTGTCCACAGTTCATTTGTATGGATGGCCCTAACCTTGATCCCCCACCGTAAACTCCCCCCCCCCCCCCCCCACACACACACACACCTAAAACCTTCTAAGGCACTCCAAAACACAAGACACAAACAGGCAGTGTCTGCACCAGAGACCCAGGAGAGAGCTCGGACAAGGAGTGGGGTCGTTCTGTTCAGAGGAGTGGCCCATCACAGCTAAGTACTGCAACCAAGAAGGAAGGCAACTAGGCTCACCACAATTCCACACCTACTTGTGATAAAGAAAAAGGGAGGAAAGCTAGACTAGGGGAGAGTTTCTTGGATTTAAGTTCAGGATACCCTTCATCACCCTTCGGGTGGAAACAGGGTGGCACTGCCACCCTGGGATGTCCTCTTCCCAGCCTGTGCAGCAGATTCCAGCCATAATGCAGGATCAGAGGAAACGAGAGGCTTAAGAATTGAAAGAGAAAAACTCTAATTAACAGGAACCGAACGATGAATTTATTAAAGTCAGTTTCCAGTTGTGTGCAGAATCTGCTCCCAAACAAAAACATGCGTGGTGATGGTTGCACACAGCACGTCCATTCCCTCCTCACCTGCTTCCCCGGGCATGATGCCTTGCAGTCCCATTTCATGAAAACAAGACGATGGATTGGACCCCTACCTCACATCATACGGAAGTTATTGCAAGTAAAGGTTAAAATGCAAAAAACAAAGCCAATTTTACAAGAGAATTTAAGAATATATATATATATATTTTATATAAATATATATATATTTATATAAATATATATAAATATATATTTATATAAATATATATATAAATATATATATAAATATATATATATTTTTTTTTTTTTGCTTTTCGGGTCACACCTAGTGATGTTCAGGGGTTACTGCTGGCTTACACTCAGGAATCTCTCCTGATAGTACTCAGGGATAGTATGGGATGATAGTATGGGATGCTGGGAATCGAACCCGGGTTGGCATGTGTGAGGCAAGTGCCCTACCCGCTGTGCTATCGCTCCAGCCCCAAGAATATATTTTCGACTTTCCAAAAGAGTATCTTCCCAAGAAGGGATTGCATAAGAATTTCATGACTCAAAAGGCACAGGATGTGCTATACTTAGGCCTTATTATCCTTAAGAACTTCTGGACCTTGTGTGTGAAATGGGGTTGTACACCTGTGCCTATCACAGGTGCAGGTCACACATGCCTGGCGCCCAGCCAGTGACCAGGAGACACAATGGAAGGACAAGGAGAAGGCCATGTTCAAGGGAGGTATGTCTAGCTTCCCTGCCACAGAAGCCACAGTGCACCACAAGGGCACATAGTCTGAGAGCAGTCACGAGAGGACTGAGGGGAGCCCCGCAAACAGGCCATGTGCTAGGAGACCACATCACAGGTTCCTTGGAGAAAACCTGAAATGGCACAAACTCCAATAGGTGGTCACAAACATTCTCAGCAGGGCTGGCGCCACTGTGACATTGGTATGTGGGCAGTCGGAACAGCTCGCTGTCCAGGAGCCAGAATGTGACTGTCAGAGGGGAGCCCCACTTCATGCATCCTGGAGTCCCTCAGGTATAGTTCTGGTGCTCCTGAGCGTCAGGTCCCAAAATAAACAGGGTCTGGGCTACTGGGCCAAGGGTGTATGGGAGTGGCCAGTTGAGTGGAAACTGCCTTGCATGGAGAGAGGAGCGGGACAGTAGGGTTGCTTCTTCCAGGGCCATCTGCTGCTCTGATGCCAAGTGCAAGAGGTAAGAAAGGTGGCGGGAATGGACTGGCACGGATGCCGAAACCTGGACACAGCAGGAACAGAGCTTTGCCAGGATTTGCCAGCAAAGTTGGATCCAACACCAAGAATACAAGCAACAGTGAAAAATCGGGGATAGGAACACTTGCAAGCGGGTAAGGCGCTTGCTTTACAACCACTGACCAAGGTTTGAATTCCAGCACTTCAGATGGTCCCCTGAGCTGCCAGGAGTGATCTGTTGCAGAGCTATGAGTAAGCCCTGAGCACCACTAGGTGTGGCCCCCAAACAAAAACAAGTACAGAAACCAAAGAGACGACCCAAAAAAAAACTGAAAGTCAGCGAGTTTGAAATGGACAGATCTGCTCAGGGCTGGAAAGAAACTTGCTTCCGCTGGATAGGGTGAAACCCACATGGACAAGGACAAGGACAAGGGCTCGCACGGCCCACCAGTACAAACCCACGCTGCGAGGGCCCAGGAGAGTCGCCTCCCAAAGACTCACCAATTTTGGGGTCCCCGAGCAGGGCAAACAGCCGGACTTTCAGAAGAAACTGGGTCAGCACAGAGGTCACCACTTCAGAAAAAGGGGACCAGATCTCCTGGATGCGATAGACATTCTCTGGACTCCGGCATGAGATCTGAGGAGAAAAATGTCTGATGCAGCTCCTTGTCTGGGCCAGACACGGACAGCCTATCACGGGCAGCTGCAGAGAAATGGGGCTCAGATAGTTGTGCACACTCAAGGCTGTGATGTCATGGGCCTATCCTAGGCCTGTCCTCGGTCCATTCTAGGCATGGCTGTGAGACCCACACCCTGGGATCTGGCACCATGAAAGCGGCTGATGGCCTCAGAAAGGGCCACCAAGTGGCCATGGCCACTCAGCAGAGTAGAGATCAGGCAGAAGCACAAGATACAGCAAGAAGAGAAGCGACAGCGTAGATGGCATTTGTCTGAGTGATGATTGCTGAGTGTTTCATGGCTGAGACAGTGTGTGAGACTGGAAACCACTTCCCGGTGGGAATGAGCAGTGAGTGGCAAACCACAACGCACGCCTGACGTCTCACCTCACGTTGCCCTCCTCGTGTCACTCCGTACGCCTCACTGAATGCCTCACACCACACTGCATGTCTCCTGTCACTGCGTGCCTTATGTCACACTGTAGGCTTCAGGGTGGCAGGGTCATATGTCCTACACTGCACAACTCATGTCACATGCATGTGTCACGGTCAGACCGCACGTCTCATGTCACGCACACATCTCATATCACATGGGGTTGTATGTCATGTCATATCTTGCATTACACAGGATTATATACCACAGGTCACAGAGTTTATCACAACACGTGGCCATATGTCCTGTCAGACTGCGTGTCTCCCATCTCTGCCTATGCTACCAGTGGTGTTAGTCTGCAGCGTCATCTCTTGCAGTATCTGGTAGATGCTCCCCACTACCGTGGACCAGCTCTCACCCCTAATGGTCCTGCTGAGGCAGCGGTGTGGCAGGCAGGACGGCTTCTGAGAGGAGCCATCTACCTAGGTCTGGGCAGCTTGGAGGAAGCACAGGGAGGCTCTCAGTCCGCCTATGGCCCTGCTGCTGGTGCTCCCCAAGTCCAACCCCAGAGGTCAAGATGTGCAGTCCTCACGGGCCTTCAGAGCAGACACCCCCAGAGTCCTTTTCCAGGTTTGGCCTGTCCCCAGAGCACCCAGGATGCCCAGCTGCCTCTCTGACTGCCAACGCCAAGCTGTCAAGCTTCAGTAGAACTTCATACAACTTCATCATTTCCTTGGGGTCACTGAATTGCTTCTGGCCAGAGCCAGTAGAGGAACTCAGCCTGGTGCTGCTTCCCTGTCAGTCCATTTCGCTCCTGGGGCAGCTCAGTCCCCACAAAAGGGCAGACTTTGAAGGTTTAGCTGTGCTGGAGAGCTCCTGATAAATCTTTGCTATAAAAAGATGTTTCTTGTTTCTTTGGGAGGGGAGAAGGATGTCCCTTTTCCTGCCCTTTCATTTCTATTTGAGATTGTGGACTTAAAATGGGATTCTGAGTGTGACAGCAGTCAATTTGAGCCGTGAGGAAACAGGGTGGGGTTCGAGAGGATGGAAGAACTCTTGTGCCTTCAGAGGCTACCGTGACCTTGTATTTGGCGACGAAGGTGGACGCCGGGCTGCTGACCTGGCACTCCTGGGTCCTGTAGTTTGGCTCCCCAGAGACCCTGGAAGGACTCCGGTGGTGACGCCTGCCCAGACAGCCTCCGCCCCTCAGAGGCCCCTGCCCCACCCCGCTCTGGCAGCAGGTGCCCCGGGCTGGGGGGCTCCGAATCGCCCTGCCCGCGCCGCCCTGGCCCTCCAGGTGCCGCCGCGTCGGCCAGCGCCCGGGCGCCGGCCCTGGCTGCTGTCCCCCGGGGCGGCCACACCCAGGTGCTTGGCCCGCGCTCTCCCGCCACAGGCCGCGGCGCCGGTCAGCACGTCCACGCGGGCGGGGCAGGGCCGGAGCCGGGGGCTGCCGGCTCCGCGCCCCGCGGCGCGCGCGGCCCACGTGGGCGTGGACGGCTCGGTGGGACGGCGGCGCGCGGGCCTCCCCTCCCCCGGCCGGAGCCGGGGTGTCGCGGGGCGCGGCCCCGGGAGCCCGGCCGTCGAGGACCCGACCTGGCCGCCGCCCGCCGCGGCCGCGCGAGGTCCCCGGGCCCGGGGCGCGGGACGGTGACCGAGCGCGGGGCCGGCCGGGCGGCTGGACCGGGCGGGGGCGGCCGGCGGGCGGGGCGCGCGCGTCGGGCGGGGCGGCGCCGATTGGCCGCGCGCCGCCACGTGACCGGCCCCTTATAGGGCGTGGTGCGGGTCCCGCGCCGGGTGCGGCGGCCGGGCCGGGCGCGTCGGTGCGGCTCCGGCGGCTCCGCGGCGGCGGCTCGAGCGCCGGGCGCGTCCCGAGCCCTCCCTGCCGGGGCGCGGGGCCAGGGGATGCGCGCGGCGCCCGCGAGCCATGGTCCGCTTCGGGGACGAGCTGGGCGGCCGCTATGGGGGCGCGGGCGGCGGGGAGCGGGCGCGGGGCGGCGGGGCCGGCGGGGCGGGCGGCCCGGGCCCCGGGGGGCTGCCGCCGGGCCAGCGGGTCCTCTACAAGCAGTCGATCGCGCAGCGCGCGCGGACCATGGCGCTCTACAACCCCATCCCGGTCAAGCAGAACTGCTTCACCGTCAACCGCTCGCTCTTCGTCTTCAGCGAGGACAACGTCGTCCGCAAATACGCCAAGCGCATCACCGAGTGGCCATATCCTGCCGGGGCGCGGGGCGCGGGCGGGGCGCGACCCGGCGCGCGTGCGTGTCCGCGCGCCCGCGTGGGCTCGGGCGGCGGCGCGTGTCTCGCGGGGTCGCCGCGCGGCCGCGGCGGGGGGGGGGGGGGCGCCGGCGCGGGCGCGCGGGCCCGGGCGCTGTCCGCGGTGCTGGCCGCCCGACGTGGACTGCGGAGGCCCCGCCTCGCGAAGGCCTGGGGCCCGGGCGCTGCGGGCGGGGGTGGCCTCGGCGTGGCCCGGCCGCGCGGCTGCGGTACCGCGCCCGCCGCCCGCCGCCCGCCTCCGCGGCGCCTCGCGTCCGTCCTTAACCACGCACTCCGTTCGAGTACATGATCCTGGCCACCATCATCGCCAACTGCATCGTGTTGGCGCTGGAGCAGCACCTCCCGGAGGGCGACAAGACGCCCATGTCCGAGCGGCTGGTGAGCTGCGGGCGGGCGGAGGGCGGGGCGCGGGGGACCCCGGCGCGCGCCCGGGGCCGAGCGGCCCGCGGAGGTGGCCCCGTCCTCCAGAGAGGGGCGGCCCAGCCGGGATCTGAGGACCTCAGGTGTGGCTGGGGTCCGCAGAGGCTCGTAGGGAGAAGTCAGGGTCTGCAGGGGCAAGGGCGGGGTCGCGGGAGCAGCGGCAGGGGCGGGGTCTGCAGTGTGAGGGGGCAGGGGCGGGGCCTGCAGGGAGAGCAGGGGCAGGGGCGGGGTCTGCAGGTGAGCAGGGTAGGGGGCGGGGCCTGCAGGGTGAGCAGGTAGAAGGGGCGGGCCTGAAGGGTGAGGGGTTACCGGGGCGAGGCCTGTAGGGTGAGGGGAAATAGGGGCGGGGCCTGCAGAGTGAGTAGGAGTGAGGGGCGGGGCCTGCAGGGTGAGGGGGGTTACAGGGGCGGGGCCTGCGTGGTGAGGGGAGACGGGGCGGGGCCTGCAGGGTGAGTGCGAGGGGCGGGGCCTGCAGTGTGAGGGGGGTTACAGGGGCGGGGCCTGCGGGGTGAGGGGAGACAGAGGCGGGGCCTGCAGGTGACGGGTGAGGGGGGACGTGAAGCCCTGGATGAGGGCGGGGCCCTGCGGCTGGATCTGGCTCCTCTGGGCAGTTGTGGGCCTCGGCTCTGCGTGGAGCCCTTCCCAGTGAGGCTGCTCCTCCCGGGCTTGAATGTCTGCCACCCACTCCCACTCTGCCATCGCCCTCCGTGCCCCTCGTGCCCCTGGAGGCACTGTCCCCCTCAGGTCAGCCGTAAGCAGAGGGGGCTCTGGAGGGCCAGAAGGGAGGGATAGTTACTGAACGCAGGGCCACGCCCTCAGTCATTTTCTTGGACCTGGGGTGGCTTCCCACCTGAGACAGACTTGGAGCGGTGGAGGGAAGTCTGCCCCCTCTGGTCTGCTGCCTCAGGTCCCCGAGGACACGCTTCTCGAGGTGCCCCTCCCCACCCCCACACAAGGGGTGTCCCGCTTCCCCTAACCCTGCGTGTCCCCAGCCTACTGCTGGCCTGGAGGGAGGAAGAGCAGACAGGGAGGCTGACAGATGGGGAAGCAGGCAGGGACAGTGACAAGGAAGCAGGGCAGGGATGCAGATAGGCTGACAGAGAGACTGACAAGGAAACAGACAGGCTAACTGGGAAGGAGAGAGGGAAGCAAACAGGAAAACTGACAAGGAAGAAGAGACAGGGAAATTGAAAGGGAAGATGACAGGGAAACAGAAGCAGATAGAGGAGCTGACAGAGAATCAGTCAGAGAACCCAACAGGAAGGCTGACAGGAAAACAAACAGGGAGGTTGACAAGGATAACAGGGACACAGACAGGGAGGCCGATAGAGAAGCAGGCAGAGAAGCAGGCAGGAACCAGTTAGGGAGACTGACAGAAGCTGACAGGGAAGTAGGCAGGAAGGCTGACAGGGAGACTTTCAGGGAAGATGACAGGGAGGCCTGCGGAGAACCTGACAGAGAGACTGTTATGAAAGATGACAGGGAGACTTGCAGAAAACCTGACAGGGAGACTGTCAGGGAAGATGACAGGGAGGCAGAGAGGGAAGTTTGTAGAGCACCTGGGTGGCAGACTGACAGGGAAACAGATAGGGAGACTGACGGGGAGACTGTCAGGGAACATGACATGGTGGCAGACAGGGAAACAGACAAAGAGGCTTATAGGGAGGATGACAGGGAAACAGACAGTGAAGCAACTAGGGAGGCTGACAGGGAGGCTGACAGGAGACTGACAGGGAAACAGAGAGACTGACGGGGAAGCTGACAGGAAAGATAACAAGGAAATAGACAGGGAAGAGGGAAACAGCTAGGGAGGCTGTCAAGGAAGCAAGCAGGAAGAAGACAGGGATGCTTCTTTGGTGTACACTCAGTGACACCCCAGAGTGGTCTGGGCCAGACCAAGTGAGGTGGAAGACCAGGTAGGTGGCATATGGAAGTCTAAGAAGGGTACAAGGAGAGCAGGGACCTCCACCAGGTGGACAGTGGGCCGTGGAGCTCCTGAGGAATCTGGGTCAGTTCTGGAATTCACTTGCCTCTCTGAACCCCAGATTTCTGCTGGTGGTGTGAGAAGCCTGATGCTGCATTTGGTGGGTGTATTGATTAGAGGTCAGAGCGGGAAGACACTGAGAGACTGGGGGCCTGGGGTTGTGACCTGTTCGGTTGGGTTTTTTGTTGTTGTTTTGTGAGTTTTTTTGGGCCACAGCCAGTGGTGCTCAGGACTCGCTCCTGTTCTGCATTCAGGGATCACTCCTGGTGGGCTTGGAGAGCCATATGGTGTGTCAGGGATAGAACTTGGGTCCACCGTGTGTGAAGCAAGTGCCTTTCCTGCTGTACTGTCTCTCTGGGCCTCGTGATCATGTTCACAGAAGTCTGGTGAGGCCCAGAGGTAGATGGTATGAGGGTTAGAGAGGCCTTGCCCATGGGCAGGGCCAGGCCTGTCTCTTCCTGCTTGGTGATAGGCCTGAGCAGGCCTGCAAGCTGCTGGCCACATTGGCCTTGCACAGTCTTGCTGATTTATGCTTGATGGTCCGGGACAGGGATCCTGTGCTGGGTTAGGTCCTGTGAGTTCAGGATGGCCAGGGTTGTCTAGGAGCTCGCTGGTTCAGGTCCTGGATGGTATCCTGTGATGGTTTAGGCACATGCTGCTTCGAGGAGCAGGCTGGGATGGGGTGCCTCCAAGCCTCCATCAGAGGAGCTCCCCTACCCACCCACCCAGCAACTTTTCCCATAGCTTTAGCAGAAACCCTTGGTTTGGACCCAGCCTTCCTCCACCGCTGGCTGCCCATCTTCCCTCCCTGACCCAGGCCATGGGGTGGATCTGGTCTGTTGAGCAGGTCTCTGTGAAGGACCCTTTCCTGAGAGGGGGGGGGGGTGGGATACAGTTGTTCCCCAGACAACCCCTCCTACTACACAGGTCCAGGAGGGTGACCCGCCATGAGTCAGCAGTATGGACCTTGTCAGGGGCGCCAGGCAGCACCTGCTCAGCTCAGACCCTTGGACTAAAGATGGCCATCTGCCCCCCTCAGCCTTCCCCACACCCTACCTGCTCTGTCCCTGGGCCCCACTGCACCGAGGCTTCTTCTGCTCTGCCCCTCTCCCCCAGCCGAATTGGGTCCTGCCCTGCTGGGTTCCAGAGGACCAGTGTCCTCTCAGCCTGGGAGCAGAGGGCAGGAGTCCTCTCCACCTGCACCTTCCTTCCTCCAAGCATCCTGCTGTACCTCCCCCAGGGCTCTAGACCGCAAGAAACACCTTGCAGGGCTGAGAGGTTCTGTTGAGGTCTGCTGCACTGAGGCTCATCCAGGCACCTTGCACCTGCTCTCCCCTCACAGAGCTCTGCCTGAATCCTGCCTGTCTCTGGGCCTCAGTCTCTGGCCCAGGGATGGCTCCTATGTGTCCAGCTGAGGGTGTGCAAGGTAACCCGTTCAGGGCAGGGAGCATGCGCGGTTGCTGCTGGTCTCACAGATGCTGATCCCAGCAGTAGTGCAGTGGTGGGTTGCATAGCCAGGCCCCTGCCCCTGTGCTTGTGGCCAGTGCGGTCACCTGCCCTCCTCCCGCAGGACGACACGGAGCCCTACTTCATCGGTATCTTCTGCTTTGAGGCGGGCATCAAGATCATCGCACTGGGCTTTGTGTTCCACAAGGGCTCCTACCTGCGCAACGGCTGGAACGTCATGGACTTCGTGGTGGTGCTCACAGGGTAGGCGCCCTCCCGCCAGGCAGCTGTGCCTGGTGACGACTCTTGTCATCATCTGGAGGCCAGACCCCAGGAATGGGCCTTGTGCAGGCATTCTAGCCTCAGTGACCTCTATAGGCCCTCGAGTCCCTCAGCCAGCTGAGTGCTCCAGGCACAGGCGGGCATCTGGGAGCGTGGGCAGAGCTCTCCATGCCCTGCCTGGCTCTGCCTCCCAGGGGAGAGAGGGTCCTGGGTGGGATTGTCGGGGAATAGGTTCTGCAGAAGCTTCTGCATCACTTGGCTCCCTGGGCCAGGGCCAGCAGTGTTCCTTCCTGGACCAGTGTCCCGCAGGGCTTAGCCGCAAGGAGACCCTCAGGGCCCTGCCCAGCCTTCAACCCAGGGAGGGTGCATGACTGAGCTTCTGTGCTGGGCGGGAGAGCAGCCCAGTGGGTGAGGGCACGGGGGGACCCTCAGGCATCTGCTCCCCCATCTCCCGTGGTCTGGCCTTGCTGGGTCTGTCCCTGGGGTATGGCCGGACAGAGCCTCTTTGTTCTGTCTAACCTGTTGCACCACAGACCCTCGTGTTTCGGGCTGCTGCTGTCTTCTGAGGGGTCGGGGCCCCATCTCAGAGCTCCCTGGGTGGCTGTGCCAAGGGTGGACTTCAGGTAGACCCTGAATCCCAGGATGAGTCCATGGGGTGCTGTGGCCCAGCCTGTCCTCTGGACTGCAGGGCACTCCTGCTGTCCAGAGCCACTTGGTGTGGGAGAGGGCGGTGCCCTTTCTGTTTACATGTCTCTCCCCGTGAGGGCAGCTCCCTGAGTGCCAGCTTGGCGGCTTATTTTTCAGGTACTCCCAGGAGCCTGGCTAGGGCGTGCCCCAGGAGGGGCCAGGGAGTGTCTGTTGAATTAAGTGGCCTCCTGCCCTGGAAACATGGGCAGTTTTTTTCTAGGGGTTGGGGGCAGGGTCTCACACAGGCAAGTCTGATACCCTTCCTCTAAGCTGTAGCCCTGAGTCCATGGGTTCCCGGGTTCCCGAAGACCAGGCTATCCTTTGGCTTCGTGAGCATCCCCTGGGCCTCCGTCTGTGTCTCTCCCTCCCCACGGCTATGCTGGTCTCTGCTGCTTCCCTTCCTTCTGCCTCATGCTGTGTCTCTGAGACTGTCTCAGGACTTGGCCTGGGGTGGGCTGGTGCATCCTGTCCCAAGCCCCTCCTGGGCGACCTCAGCCTCAGAAACACCCCAGGGGCTGGACTGGGTGATGGGTCCCTGCAGGGGGTTCTGCTGCTCCAGCTTGCAGCACCCAGGGACTAATGAACTTTGCGTGTATGTACCTGTGCCTTTGTGCGTGCATGTGTGTGCAGGCAGGTGTGGGATGGTGCAGACACACAGGTGCACACACATAACCAAGTGCATGTATGCACAGAACATGCGTGTATGGTGGATACACATGTTCACACACACGTACTTGCACATATGTGCCTGTGTGGTGGATGGAGGGAGGCCCTGATCTGCTAGAGGCTGAGTGAGTGCCCTCCCTTGTGGCTACAGGAAGAACCCCACCCTACCCTCCTCTGCTGAGCTCCTGTCCTAGCCTTGGCAGGTGTGTTATTGCTCGTTACATTGTTGTTTTAATTAGGGGTTGCTAATTGGTGCTCAGAGGGCTGGAGGCCCACAGGGGCAGGAGGGTCTGGGGTGCTCTGACTGGGGAGGCCCTGTTGCCTGGCAAAGCCCAAGTTGTCCCCAGGGGCCCTCTGGGGTTCCTTCTGCTTCTGTGGCTGGGAGATTGATGGGAGGGTCGCCCCTCCCCCAGTCCTGTGGAGGCACCTGGGGACAGCTGGTCTGGGGCTTCTTGTTTGCTCCTCCCTCCTGTGTGTCTGTCTCCAGCTTGAGCTGCCCTCAGATCTCTCTCTCTCTCTCTCTCTCTCTCTCTCTCTCTCTCTGCTCTCTCTGCTGTGGCCTTTCATGAGGGTTGTAGGGGATTCTTGGAGCCGAGTGTCTGCTGTGAGCAGAGCTCTGCGAGCTGGGCTGCATCTGGGCACTCGGTCTCTGGCCCATGTTGTTTCTCTTTTCCCTGGATAGGGAGGGATGTGAGGAGAGTCACCTCCTTCTCAACTCCTACCTGGTGCTGGTGCAGGTGTGCACTCCAGAGGGATGAGCTTTATTTCCTCACGTGGGAAGGGTGGGGACTGAAGAGTGAGTGATCCAGTGACACTCACACTGAGCCTTCAAAGAGGTCTGGGGAGAGGCCATCCTGATGGATCAGCCCCAGGATACAGCTGTGCCATGGATGTGAGGGCCTGAAGCCAGAGGAAATGCTGCCCAGGGCTGAGCCAGGTCCCCAGGTTTGTTGGTTTGCAGCAACCACTATGTGTGTGGGGAGTGCGTGCGCGTGTGTGTATGTGGTGTGTATGTGTGTGTGAGTGTGTGTGTGTGTGTGTGTGTGTGTGTGTGTGCATGTGGTGGGAGCCAGAAGGTTCCCTGGGGGTTGGAGCCATAGTACAGCGAGTAGGGGGTTCAATCTCTGGCACACTATATGGTCTCCAGCGCCCAAAGGAGGGATTCCTGGGTGTAGAGCCAGGAGAAAACCATGAACAACTCTGGGTGTGGCCCCCAAACAAAGCTAAAAACCAAAACAAACACAAAAAGAAAGTACCCTGGATTGAGAGGGAGGTGATGAGAGTCACAGGGTGCCCTGGGTGGGCTGAGGGTCAGAGGGTACCCTGGATAGGGAGGGAGGTGATGAGACTCAGAGGGTGCCCTGGGTGGGATGAGGGTATCCTGGGTGGGGTGAGAGTCGGAGGGTGTCCTGGGTGGGGTGAGAATCAGAGGGTGTCCTGGGTGGGCTGAGGGTCAGAGGGTGCCCTGGATGGGGTGAGGGTCAGAGGGTGCCCTGGATGGGGTGAGGGTCAGAGGGTGTCCTGGGTGGGGTGAGAATCAGAGAGTGCCCTGGATGGGGTGAGGGTCAGAGGGTGCCCTGGATGGGGTGAGGGTCAGAGGGTGTCCTGAATGGCAGAGTAAGAGGGTGCTCTGGGTGGGGTGAGGGTCAAAGAGTGTCCTGGGTGGGTTGAGGGTCAGAGGATGCTGCCCTGGATGGGGTGAGGGTCAGATGGTGTCCTGGGTGGGGTGAGGGTCAGAGGGTGTCCTGGGTGGGTGAGAGTCAGGATGCCCTGGGTGGGGTGAGAGTCATAGGGTACCCTGGATGTGGGTGCTGGTGCTGGAGGGATGTTCTTGGTCTTCTCTGGACAGAAATTGGAGGTGGGGAACTGTTTTCTGGACATCAGACACGAGGGTGAGAGCATTTTGGTATTTTTTTTTCCTTTTGGGTCATGCCCAGCGATGCACAGGGGTTACTCCTGGCTCATGCACTCAGGAATTACTCCTGGCAGTGCTTGGGGGAGCATGAGGGATGCTGGGAATCGAATCCAGGTCTGCCGTGTCCTGGGTGGGCTGAGGATCAAGGGAAACACCCTACCCACTATTGCTCCAGCCCTGGTGAGAGCATTTTGAATCCTGGACCCTGCAGCTGAGGGTGAGGGTTGTTGGGAGCTTTGTCTTTAGGGAGTTTTGTAGAGGCAGCTAGCTAAGCTGATGATTGGGTGGTGAGAACTGAGTGAGAGCAGGACAGGGTTCTGGAGTAGGGCTCAGGGGGCCTGTCACCCAGGATCCAGCAGCCCAGGAACCCAGTGTTGGGTGAGTGCTATTGGTCACAGCACACAGGTCCTTCTTGTGTCTGGTCCCCACTGAACTCGGGAAATGGGTCTGAGATATGCTGTGGGAGAAGGAGAAGTTGGTGTCCAAGGACATTGGAAGTGGGACATTGGAGATACAGGGAGTGTGACAGAGTGAGAACAAGTGTGAGTGGGAGTGAGTCGGTGGGAATGCCAGTGAGAGAGGGAGCATGAATGAGAGTCAGAGTGAGTTAGAGCGAGTTAGTGAGAGTGAGTGAGAGTGGGCGAGAGTGAATGAGAGTGAGTGTGGGAGAATGGGAGTATGAGTGAGTGTGTAAGATCGAGAGTTTGAGAGTGAATATGTGTGAGAATGGGAGTATAAGTAGGAGTAGGAGTGAATGAGATTGAGTGTGAGTTTGAGTGTGAGAGCAGGTGTGAGTAAATGAGAATGTATGAGTAAAGAGGTAAAGTGAGTGGTACCTTTTGCCTGCATCCAACCCCTCTTTGGCTCTGCAAGTCTGTTCGACTACCCCCTCACTGCCTATATGGTGAGCCCCATTCATCCTCTGGAGGCTCATGTGGCCTGTCACTGCTAGGGACACCCCACCGAGTGGGTACCTTCTAGGGAGATTGCAGGGAAGAAGTTCGTCCTTTCTCTGGGGCCGGAGGTACAGGGGTGTCAGATTGGAAGGATGGCCCGCTGGGGGATGCTGAGTGACTGGTAGTGAGTGGGTCCACCATGGCCCCCCAGGTGGGTGAGGGCCAAGGTCCGGACTGTGGCTGCAGGAGCCCTGGTCACTGCCTGCTTGTCCTTTGGTGCTTTAAGGACTTGGGACCTTCCCGCCACCATCCTGTGTGCCTCAGCGACAGCTGAGAAGCATGTCCCAACGCAAGCATTGGCTCCGTGGGGACCTTCTCACCACAGCTCTCGTCTTGCCCCAGATCAACCTGGGCTTCTCTCCAGGATGGTAATTAGAGCTCAGTGTTTCCCTTTGGGGCATCCAAGGAGCCAGGGAGTGCGGTGGCCCTGCCCAGGGAGCTAGCCAGGCTGGGCACCCAGTCATGTGGAGGTACTGCCTCCTGTCTGGCTGGCAATGTGGTGCTGGGAGGCCGGCAGAGGAGTGACTGGAGGGGGGAGGAGAGCCAGACTCTGGAATAACCCCCTGTGGGGGGTCCAGCAGAGTGGATACCAGGGTACTGTGCCCTCAGCTGTTGTGCCCAGTGAGTTTGTTCTTAGCTGTGAGCCCCAGTCATCAGTAGGTGTATGAGTGACCAGTGTCCCTGTGTGCACATTGTTGACCAGCATGTGCCCCGTGTGGGCAGTGAACTGTGTCATGTCCAGCTCTAAGCCAGGCCTG